GTCATCCATCATGTTTAGTGTTTCAGGTGTTGTGTATTCTTAAGTGTCACTCCAATGAGTGTTAATGTTATTATGTATTGTTCCAAGAGCCTGTGCTGGCATATCCTCAGGAGAATTTGATCGCTTCAAAGTTGATATCAGAGGCTGTGGATTGATATACGATGGAAAGGACATTTTATGTTCAACGACACTCCATTTATTTGGTATATAAAAAAAAAATAACAATAATAAAATATATATATATATATATATATATAATATTTCACTATATATATATATATATATATATATATATATATATATATATATATTGTGAAATATTATTACAACAATTTTCTATTTGAATATATTTAAAAAAAAAAAAAAATTTCTCCAGTCTTCAGTGTCACATGATCCTTCAGAAATCATTCTAAAATTATGATATAATGCTCAAGAAACTTTTCTGATTATTATCAATGCTGAAAACCATTGGAAATGGCAATGAATTGTGTATCTGCAATAGTGTTTCTTGTGAGCAGAGAGATTTAAGAATGTTTTTTTTGTAATTATTTGAAATAGAAATCTTTTGAATGGTATACAGTTGCTACTATTTATTTGTTGATTATTGAAAAAAAAAAAAAAATCCACGTTGTCCAATGTAACATCTCGGTCCTGAAGCAAAACTAGTTGAGAAATGTTTATAGTCACTTCATTTGTTTGGGATAGGATGCCAAAATTTGGTTTTCTTTAGCGAGTTGCCTTTCTCTTTGAATTGTTAACAAGAAGTTCAATCCTCCCACTTTTTAATTCAGTTGCTGTAGAAGTAGAAGCAATTAACCCCCTAAATGATAAACAGCATCATATCAAACAAGATAATTTATGCCACATTAAGAAACATTTAAAATGGGAAGCGTTGTCTTGAATTAAGCCTATCAAATAGTATTTTCTGTTTATTGTTTGATGATGTTGGACGACCCATTCAGGCAGTCTGTATCCCATCTAATATTTCAGTGATTTGCTTTAATTAGAATTCCATATTAAAACCACTGACTTAAAGGACTTCGCCCTCAATGGAATTTCCACGCTCTTGTCTTGATTCCTCTGTCTTGATTTAAAGAAAACTCAATCTCCTCGTATGTCTTCAGGAAAGCCCAGAAGCACTTTGAGCCATTGTTGATGCTGTGAGTCGTTGTTAAGCCCTTGTGTCTATTCAAATGACGGCACAGAGTCTCAAACAAGTGTGATTTGAACAAAGATCAATACAGGCCTGCAAGATCTACTGCCATTGTTGCCCTAATGCCTCCTTCAATTAACCGGCACACTCTCAGAAAAAAAGTACAAAAGCTGTCACTGGGGCTGTACCTTTTCAAAATGTAAACTTTTGTCCATTTTAGGTGCTAATATGTGCATTTTAGGTGCTAATATGTGCATTTTAGGTGGTAGTATGTACATTTTAGGTGCTATTATGTACATTTTAGGTGCTAATGTGGACATTTAGGTGCTAATATGTACATTTCTGGTGCTAAAATGGACATTTAGGTGCTATTATGTACATCTTAGGTGCTAATATGGACATTTTAGGTGCTAATATGGACATTTTTGGTGCTAATATGGACATTTAGGTGCTATTATGTACATTTTAGGTGCTAATATGGACATTTTTGGTGCTAATATGGACATTTAGGTGCTATTATGTACATTTTTGGTGCTAATATATACATTTTAGGTGTTATTATGTACATTTTAGGTGATAATGTGTACATTTTAGGTGCTACTATGTGCATTTTAGGTGCTAATACATACATTTTAGGTGTTATTATGTACATTTTAGGTGATAATGTGTACATTTTAGGTGCTAATATATACATTTTAGGTGTCATTATGTACATTTTAGGTGCTAATATGTACATTAATATGCACCCTTTAGGTACAAAAGTGTACATTTTGAAAAGGTACCGCCAAAGTGACAGCTTTTGTACCTTTTTTTCTGAGAGTGTGAAATCTCTCCTTTTTTGGTTTCACGTAAAATTTTATTTAGGCCTTGTGGTTACAAGTGCCGGCAACTTGAAAGTTGTGGGTTCAACGCCAGCAAGGAGTGATTTCTAAGCTTTCACCGTTGCGCCGCTTAGGAATGTAACCACAGGATGCCCCACGCTTCAGATAAAAGTGGCATTTCAATGTCTCCGAATGTATTTGAACCCGGCCAGATTGTTGGTGGAAAAGGATATGCAAGCATTCTCTAATAATTACCGTTCTGAAATAGGACTTCGATCCTTCTATGTTTTGACAGCTGCATGAAGAGTTTTTGTCCTTCAGTGCAGTTGTGGCCTTAAAGCCAGTGACTCACTCAACCAAGATCGGCCCAGCTGTGTAGCGTGGATGTCTGGATCTGATCAAAGTTAGCGCAGGATTAGCGGTTGACGCCGATGCTGGTGACAGCTCTCGAATCTCTCTGCAGTTTGATCTGATTAGCGGATAGAGGGTGGATAAAGATGATTGTGAGGTGAAATGTTCCTGGGAATTAATTCACACACCTGTGTTTTGTTCTCCGAGAGATCCTGACAACTCTTCGCACATCCATCAGCAACAGGCATGCAGATGTTCGGAGTGTGATGCTGTCTGCTTTCAGTACAAATGTCTGAAACAGGAAGAATTTATGTTATTCTGAGTTATCAGTCATCCACTAGCCTCTTTTTAAACGTTATTGTGTTGTGACAAGTCGTTTCTGTGCAAGTTTCCCCACACATGACACTTCTGTCATCGTTTATTCACGTAGTGTTGTTCTGAATCCATGACTATTTAACTGTAAAAATTATCAATAAGTTAAGACAACATGTTTTTACATTGCTTTAACTCTTCAAAATAAGTTAAGCAATTTACAAAACTTTTTATAAGTTGTACAAGATTCAACTAATTGAAGTCAGTTTAATGTACTTTAAGTTAAAATTACTTAAACATCCAAGTTAATTGTACTTGAAAATTAACCCCTTAACTGTCGCTGTCCCGGTACCAGGACACCTAACTTTATTTCACTATATTTCTATTAAATCCTAATCTAATTATGACAAATTATACATTGTTGGCAAGGTCTAAGACTTCCAAATAGATATTCTACCCCTGTTTTGTGTTACAAATTATGTAGGAATAGTAACTGATGAATGTATGACAACAGTGCACCTCAAAAAATCTGCATCCAAACAGGAGTTCTGACCTTTGTCACAAAAAGTCGATGCAACCACTTTTAATCATTGAAACTTCTGTTTTTATGCTAAAAGTTCATAATAAAATTTATAATCTATAGTATAATATTATCCTCTAAAAATGAATATATATATATATATATATATATATACTGTTTATATATTATCCTCTAAAATACAATATCATTTGTTATAGCCTTTATTATTATATCACATATTTTAGTAGTTATCATAAATTAAGTATCATTTGAAGCTTATAAACTCAGTATTCATCGCGTGAAAACAGTTTTATAATTGAACGTTGCGTTACTATAGAAACGGTACTTATTTTATCAGGCGCCTCCCCTTTTGGACATCATTATATTTCATAATTTATTATCAAAACCTTTTCTAATCTTGACAAAACACATATTGTCAGAAAGGTCTTGTGACAGAAGTGATATTTGGACAGAAATGTATTAATTTGTTGAGGCAGAATGTATACAACTAAATTCAATGGAATGGATGGCACCCGGCGGGTATTTTTGCTACGTCTAAACAAAATCTCATGGGAACTTCAATTTTTGTGATATCAACTTCAAATTTGGAACATAACTTGATAAGATGTATGGCTTTGATTTTATAGTAATTTTAGAGTAAAAAATATTTTGTAAAATATATATTTTATATAAAATAAAAAATATATAGTACAGTATATTTGATTTACTGTGCATTTAAACTTCCATAACTTTTTCATACTTTCATTTTTTGAAGTGTTTTCACTTTAGCAATAATCTGCTGAGTGTTTGCTTTAAAACAAGACCAAACTTGGGGGGTGACAGCGACTTTTTTTTTCAGTGCAAAGGAACTAGAATTTTAAAATAATGTATTGATTATTATGGGGATCTGGTCTGCCTGGAGTTTTTAAGATTCAAAAAAACTGCAGGAAATTATCATGAAGTCTGTTTGACTTACTGTACTGTATTTTGAGTCTTCTGACGTCATAGGATTGCTATGTGTTATAAACGGATCACATTTTTAGTTGTTATACACCAATGATTTTTGCTTCCAGTGAACTGTTTACTGATTCAACCAGATCATTGTCTTGACTACATACTTTTGCCGTGATTCAGAATCTGGAAGAACTGACACTAGTTTGAAGATTTTGGGCAGGCACAGACTCAGATTTTTTAAAATTCAGACTAAAGCAATATGGCTCATGTTTCTGCGTGAGCTTGGTATGTTCTGAACGACTTTGAGATCATTTTCCTTTTTTTCTTTGAAGCTTGGTCTTTTATTGAATGATGGCCAGTGTTCTCTTTCTGAAAGCATTTACAAAGTTGCCAATTGGTGTATTAAATCTGTCCAGATTTTAAGTTATGTAGTTCAATCATTAATGTGAGTTTTGCAAATTGGATCACTGATTAATTGGGATGTTCTGAGCTGATTCATTCATGAAATCACTAATTTTCTCATGAACTCTTGAGTCATAAACCACTTTCATGATGCTTTTTTTAAAATAAGTTTTGGTTCTTGGCACCCTCAATTCTCATCAAATTTAATTAGGATATTCTTCTGAAATTCGCCTTTTGTGTTCATGGCATGCAGTCAATAGGAAGTAAGTAAATGTTGACAGAATCGATTTTGGGTGAACTATTAATTTGACAATTCTACACAACATGAAAAGTGTATAATTCTTTGACGTGCTGTACACTCTAAAAATTGCTGGGGTGTTTCAAATGGACAAACCCAGCCATTGGTTTACATTTTTTTAATTACATTTTTAACCCAACGTTTGGGTTTGTCCATATTGTACCCAAAGTTGGGTTAAAACTACCCAGCATTTTTAGAGTGTAGTGAATAATGTGGCATTCCTCTCTAAGGACAATTCGGTCTTAGTTGGAAAAGTGATCCGTTTTCAAAGACCGGAGATCCATGACCCAAAACCATTATTAGTGAACTCTGTCCTTAGCTCAGGACTGAACAATACACCTTGTTTGGACAGGTGATCTTATTCCTAATGTGAAGAAAGCTCTGAGTGAGATAACAGGCTTAGACGTCTTTAGAAACAAAGGCGATGGATTTTAATCTGACAGCAGAATTCCCAGTTGATGCCACACATTATCCATTTCATAGGGAAAAACGCTTTCGCCAAAGACGAGCATGCTGATTATAAAAACTCATCAAAGCCTTTCCTGAAGGATTTTTTTTTTTTTTCATTTAGTCATGTTGTATCGCAAATGAATGTCATACAAACACCCAAATGCTGCAAATGGACTTGTAAATGGATGTCAATTATATGGGCCAATTAGTGTGATGTGTTTACTGTGTAAACAGAGGCTGTTTATTTGCTCTCTCTGCAGATTTCAACCAAAGCTCTGTTTGTATTGGGTTTTCTTACTGAATGTTTCTCAGCTGTGGACCTTTTGATTCTCCCTTAATGATTTAATATCCATCTGTTAAATCTAAACCTCGTACGCGACTACACAGACAGCAAAGATAGAGTGTCAAACAGGTCTCGCTGGCGGTTGTACGTGTCTTTGGAAGTGTTTGCAGCTCAGGAATGGTGCTTTCCCCCCATTTTCTCACCACACTCCAATTCCAAATGTCTTCTTTGTCATATTAATAAGCGAACTCAGAAGCTGAAGAGTGCCCAAACTTGTCTATGGAATACTTCAGAATGACAGGTCTTTCCATATACTCCTCCCTGAATGGAACTGAGGGTTATTACTCATTTACTCCTTCAGCCAAGGTGTGGATTTGGAGGCATTAGGTGTCACTGTGGATGTCTCCTGAAGAGTGATGCTGAAGAAACCTCTCTTTAATGAAGCATGGAATCAACGGTGCCCCATGATTGGGTGCTTTCCTGCAAACCCGGCCCTGTTTTACTAGAATTAGTAGTCATAGGTGAGTCATGTGACTCAGGGAGAGGGTGGGACTCGCACCTGAATCAGCTGAGAAAAGTAGCCTTGACTCTGGAGCTATGAAGGTCTTCTAAGAAGTTCTCTTCCAACTGGATCTCTAGTTTGTTCTTCTGCAACCCTCCAAGGCTTATAAAGTTGACCGTTCATCATAGCCTACATTAGACCGTCTATTTCTGGAATTCTCTCTGGACCAGAAGGACCTTCCTGAACCTGGGCCATGTTTGGCACTGGGCATTTGGTGTCTCCTCTGTCTTCTGCAGTCTTCCACTCTTCGGCTGCACACTTCTTCCCAGCGTTCCCCAGTAGGTTGAGCTCTCCGCAGATCCTCATCCCCGGGCCTCTGCTGAGCTACGAGCTGCTGCGCAGTTACTTGCAGCCTGAACCTTGCAAACAGGCTCTGCTATTGGCCGCTCAGTCTGCTGGACACCATGCTGAAAATATCGGTGAGCTCAATGCAACCTATTGGTCATTTATGTTGTAACATCTAATATGACATTTTATATTTTAAGTGAAGTTTTCATTTGAGTGTTTATATATATATACACTCTAAAAAATGCTGGGTTGTTTTAACCCAATTTTGGGTAAAATATGGACAAACCCAGCCATTGGGTTAAAAATGTAATTTAAAAATGTAACCCAATGGTTGGGTTTGTCCATATTTTACCCAAAATTGGGTTAAAACAACCCAGCATTTTTTAGAGTGTGTATATATATATATATATATATATATATATATATATATATATATATATAATACATATATATATATATAAACACTATATATATATATATATATATATATATATATATATATATATATATATATAATATACACTCTCTCTCTCTCTATATATATATATGAGTATATATTTTATATGTATATGAGTATAGTATATATATATGGGTATAGTGTATATATATGTATATATATATATATATATATATATATATATATATACACGCGCACACACTTTAAACAATGCTGGGTTGTTTGATAAAATATAAAATATGGACGAACCCAAATGTTGGGTTAAAAACATAATTTCAAATTTTAACCCAACTTCAACTTTAATTTTCAACTGTAATTTTTTCAATTGCATTGTTAACCCAACATTTGGGTTTGGATCAAATATGGACTAACCCAAATGTTGGGTTAAAAATGTAATTTAAAAAATTTACAGTTGAAAGTGAGAGTTGAAGATTTTAAATGACATTTTTAACCCAACATATATATATATATATATAATTTCAAATTTTAACTCAACTTCAAATTTAATTTTCAACTGCAATTTTCAACCCAGCATTTCAAAGAGTATATATATATATATATATATTAGTGTACAATCTTCCTGTCATTATCACAAAATAAACCCTGTTACAAGGAGGGTTTACATTATTCCTCTTGCTACAAGATTAATAGATATGTACATGAAATATTTATTTTGCATTGAAATCACTTTATTATGTGCGACGAAAGAGGCCACAGTGATATGAGAGACATTTAGGAAATTGATTGCCTACAACAGCAATCCGTTATACAGTTTAATAAATATTAGACCACCGAACCATAACTGACTGATCAGAATCAAGTATTCCAGAGAGCTGTGTAATGAAATTATATAAATAATATATGTGTAATAAAATATGTAAATAAAACCTTTGAGATAAGATTGCTCCCTTATATAATGTGTTGTATGGGGGTTGGGGGGGGGGGGGGGGGGTTGTATATTTATTTAGGTGATTTGCTCTTAATAATACAAATGTGTAGCTTTTATTAAGAGAGACCATTTGTGAATGAAATTCTCTCATAATTGTCCATCCTCATTTTACAGTATTTAATAGGATTCAAAATGTTTACAAAGGATTGGCTAACAGCTCGTTACTAACAATCAATTACCCGGCTCTGCTGAAGAGGGCTTAATGAACGCTGCGCTAATTATCCAATCTAGAGCCATTAGTTCCTTGTCAGCCTCTGGCAATTGTCTAATTGGTGGCTTCGATGTGGCTTCCAGATGAACCCCGGCCAGTGAAGCAGCGGCGAGCTCGGGCCAACTACAGCAGCTGGCAGCTGGAGGAGCTGGAGAAGGCCTTCGAGAGCACTCACTATCCAGACGTCTTCATGAGAGAAGCCCTGGCCCTCAGACTGGACCTGATTGAGGCCAGAGTGCAGGTCGCCTTTGCAATGCTCTCTTTGACTGTTGTGATGCAGGCAATTATATGAATATTATAGCTAAATATTTTTCTGAACCACTGCTGAGATTTAATTTTTTAAGTGTAATTTCTTTATCGTTTTGTTTTAATTCCACAGAATTATAAGCATGCATTGTTCTTCTTTAAAGGGTTTAGTTTTTAGTTTTCCTCCTTTAGATTTTCAGTGAGCTGCAATGACATAACAAACATGATGTATTACACCATATATATATATATATATATATATATATATATATATATATATATACTTGCGTTGAGTAATTTTTTTTTATTTGTTGCTAATAAATACTTAAAATGAGAAAAATTTACTTCAGGAAAGCAAAACTGAAAATCAAACAAATATTACTTTTGACCAAATTAGGCAAATGTAGAAAATAAGAAAAATCTACTAGAGGGACTTTTTTCTTTTCTTTTTTCTTTAATTTTTAAGTGTAACTTCTTTATCGTTTTGTTTTAATTCCACAGAATTATAAGCATGCATTGTTCTCCATTATATATATATATATATATATGGTGTAATACATCATATTTGTTATGTCATTGCATAACAAACAATGTAAGCATCAATGTGTTTTGGTTTTCCAAATGATTTTTATAAATGAGTCATTTTTATTTATTTTCTTCTAAATATTCTTAAAATAAGAAAAAAACAACTTTAATTGTTTTATTTTTTTTACTGGAAAACTATAGGTAATATTAATATTGTGAACATTTGTTTAATTTAATATATCGCATACAATAAAAAAAGCACAATGAAAATGTCAATACCTTCTTACTTTTTTTGTAATTTAAATATATATTTTATCTATTGTTCCTCTAGGTGTGGTTCCAAAACCGCAGGGCTAAAATGCGCAGACAAATGAAGCTTCAAAGCCAGGCTGGGGAACAGTGCGGCCAGCACGACAGTGACGACAGACAGACCGAGGAGTCGTCCAGCAGGAGCACAGCTCCTGAACTCCACAACAGCATCAGCCCATGCTGGGACAGGAAACAGGACAGAGGAAGCCCCACTTGGCCCAAACCCTCCTCATCAGTTATTCACAGCCCCATGAGGGATCAGGACGGGTCAGAGGTGTCCAGTGCGGAGGACTTCCGCTGTTGTAGCATTGCCAAACTGAGGGCGAAGGCCAGGGACTATGAAGCAGAGATCCACAGCACTGTGGTCAAGGCCAGCAGAGAGAGGCAGATGAAGACACAGGTACCTGCCACAGTCCTGGACAGAGACTGAAGCAGATGTGGCCATCGTCCATTACCTCACGATCACACAGGACACATTAGGAATCCCAGTCAATTCATTATTTATTATAATGCACAATTACACACGCAATGTGACTGAGAAAAGTAAATAGAAATTCAGATTGTCAGGCTCAGTGTTGGGGGGCGACGCGAGTTACGAAATCAGATTACTTTTTCAAGTAACGAGTAAAGTAGCGCATTTTAAATTTACAACAACATAGGCCATCTGAGTTACTTTTTCCAAATAATTACCCCAAGTTACTTTAAATTTTACCAACAGCTCTCCTGTCCGCATGTTGAGAGAATTCGTGAGTAAGTGCAGAGACGTTGTGTGCGCTGTATGATCATGATTATTCTAGTTCTAGAGTAAGGAGCAGTGTTGTAGTACTCAAGACTCGGACTCGGTCTCGAGACCATATTTTAATGGTCTTGGTCTTGTCATGGACTCGTGTGCATTTGGACTCGGAATTGACTCGTACTCGAACATTTTTTTTTTTAGGACTCGGACTTATTCCCGAGTCCACTCGAGTTCAATTCAAAATATTTTTCATGATTATTAATGTATGTTAAAAAAATATTTCTTTAAATTGATTGACACGCCCATTGATTGGTGATTTTGTAGTGCGCATCTGCGCATGACAAATTGTAATAAAATTACTTTCAACACCACCTACTATGTGGCCTTTTTACCCTAAACTGATCATATTTTTTAAACTCTAAGTAAATTCAGTAAAAAAAAAAAAGGATTTCTCTAAGTAAATAAAAGTAAATTAGGTAATCAACCCTCACTGGTCTCGGACTCGACTCTCTATGCACTCGGTCTTGACTCGGACTCGACTCTCTCTGGTCTCGACTCGGACTCGAGTGAGGTGGTCTCGACTACAACACTGGTAAGGAGCTGTTTACATGTCACCGTTCTCTTACGAGAGGTTCTCTCGTATTGCGTAAGCTAGCTTACGCTACGGGAAAGATTCATCTTTGCTGAGAAGTTGAAGCCAAAAAATTATTCCATAATTTTGTAATCATTGTCAACGCAGTCTCCTCTGAGGCAGACCATGAGCGGGCTAGCTAGCGGCTCATTGGTTCGCTCAGAGAGAATGCACGAACCTATGGGAGAGCGGCGCTGAGTCCGCGGCCAATGAGCGGACGGCGCTCGCTCACTGCTTCACAGCCCGCCAAAAGGGGCGTGGCTACAGTGTATAAAGGTCGCTCTCCCAGCTCGTTCGTTGATTCTTGTTCATTCAGCGAGCTACACGCATCCGCTGTCCTGGGAAGAAGCCGCCGTCGTTGAGAAGGCACCGTCTAGCGAGCTCCGGAGTCTGAGGAAGCCGGCCGTCTGCCACCTTCAGCCGCCCAGCAAGCTAGCGCCATCCGACGCGTATCCTTTTTACTATTCCATATTCCTAAAAGAGCCGAGCGTCTTTTTCAAGATGCCTCGAATTTCCTGCGGCTCATGCCGCTCTTCACTCGAGGAAGGAGACCGCTTCTGCGTTCTCTGTTTCGGAGTGGAACACGCAGAGCTCGCCAACGGAGGATGCGACCACTGCGAGGACCTGCCTCCGTCTTCCCTGCGGGCTCGACTACAGGCAGTCAGAACCGCTCCCGCGCCGCCTCTCACTTCGCCGCGGAAGAAGAAACGCCGCTCCCAGAGGCCGCCGGAGCCCCCTGCGGATCCATGTGGGCCGCCGCCGCCGCCCACCGACCGCTCTCCCTCTCCGCCCCTGCCGGACTTACAGTTGCCGCCGTATGGCCGCTCTGTCGCCTCCGACGACACCGCGGATGAGAAGGACTCTTGTTCGCTGCACCCTTCTGACAGCGAGGATTGGTCGTCGATCGGCTCATCGACGAGAGAGTCTGCGGGGACCCGCGCCGGCATCGAGGAGGATCTATCGCGCCTCCCTTCGCAGGCCTTCAACCGCCTGGGTCTCGAGTGGTCTCCTCCCCCGAGCAACCACCGAACCGGCGCTCGACCCCCGCCTGCAGCCGGGCTGCACCATTCCTGCCTGAGCTTCACTACGAGCTCACTAAATCCTGGAATGCCCCTCTTTCGGCTCGTATCCGCTCCGAGGGGTCCGCTTCGCTCAGTGGACGGAGCCGCCGAGATGGGTTATACTGCCATGCTGCCCGCGCCTTTGCCGCCGCCGAACAGGCCGCCTCAGCGCTGCATTCCATCCAGGCGCTCCAGAGCGACATCTTGTGCGAGATGGCGAACAGCGGTAGGAACCCGCCCATCCTTTCGGATCTGAGAAGCGCGACGGATCTTTCCCTTCGCGCCACTAAAGCCGCCGCACAAGCCCTGGGAAAATGCATGGCCGCCCTCGTTGTCACTGAGAGACACTTGTGGCTCACGCTCACCGATATGGGAGATTCAGAACGCGCCCTGTTCCTCAACGCGCCTATTTCTCCCACCGGGCTCTTCGGATCTGCCGTCACGGGCATCGTTGACCGCTTCTCCGAGGTTCAGAAAGCGACTCAGCCATGAATCTGTTCTTGCCCCGCCGCTCTAGTTCTTCGACAGGCCGCTCTCACGAGCCTCCTGCCAGAACCCCACAGCAGCGCCCGCCTCAGCAAGCTCAGCAGCCCCAGCGTAGACAGGGCGGCCGCTCTCGCTCAGATAGCCGCCGCAGACAGCCTCCTCCCAGGGGGCCTCGACCCAAGATCGCGCTGAAGCCCGATCAACAGAAGTCTGCCTAGCACAGCTGAGAAAAGGACTGCTTCTCCCGCTGCGGCCGGATCGCCGTAAAAGCCTCGCCCACTGTTAGTCCCCGTCTCACCGCTGACTGCAGTAGTGTTTACCGCCACAAACAAGCCGGTTTCCCTGCCCGCTTGCGAGCGTCTAAAAGCCGTTTTCACGGCTATCCAGAGAGTTCACAAAAGAGCATAAAAGCCTCAAGTGTAATAAATGTGCCCACAAGCATGTGCTCACATACACACTCAAGCACCTTATGCCCAGGGTCTCTCACAGAGCCCATTCTCACGGAGCGTGCACTTTCCGCTCCAGCAGCAGAGAACATAAGCACGCCCACGAGCCCGTGCGCGTGTCCCCCCTCTGCCCGCTCTGTCACACGGCCCATAAAACTCCTCTCTGAGTGTAAGTCCCGTTGCCACCCACATTATGAGCGTGCCCACACACAGTGTCCAGCCCGCGATGTGCAGCTATCAGGGCAAAATCGCCATTCAACCGCTTACGAAGCGTGGGAAGCCATCCCTGGCATCTCCCCGTGGGTTTAAGCATAATAAAAGAATGGTTATCGATTACAGTTTCGTCGCCGCCCGCCACGCTCGCGCGTGCGGCTCGAATCCACTGTCAGCCGCCCGCTATGAACACGCTTCGCTTAGAAATAGCCAAGCTACTGCAGAAGGGCGCTATAGAGAGAGTCCCACCATCTATGACCGAGTCGGGGTTTTACGGCCGTTATTTTCTGGTTCCCAAGAAAGACGGCGGCCTCAGGCCGATCTTAGATCTCAGGGCTTTGAACATAGCGCTCATGAAGAGACCGTTCAAAATGCTCACAGTCAGGAAACTCCTCGCGCACGTCCGCCAGGGGGACTGGTTCATCTCTCTAGACCTGAAAGACACCTATTTTCAGATCCAGATAAACCCTCATCACAGGCCATTCCTACGTTTCGCCTTCGAGGGCCAAGTTTACCAGTATGCCGTTCTCCCGTTCGGCTATCCTTAGCACCCCGTACGTTCACGAAGTGCATGGATACAGCGCTCGCCCCCCTGCGAAGTCAGGGGCTGCGCATACTGAATTATCTGGACGACTGGCTGATGCTAGCAGATTCCCAGACGGAGCTGCTGTCGCACCGCACAGTTCTCCTCAACCATCTGGAAGCGCTGGGACTCTCTGTCAACTGGACAAAGAGCTCTCTCCAGCCCAGTCAAACTATTTCGTTCCTTGGAATAGATTTGAACTCTATCACTATGACGGCTCGCTTATCCACACAGCGCGCGCGCCGTGTTCAGCGCCTAGCCGCCTCGTTCAGATGGGTACCCATACATCCCTGAAATCGCTTCAGAGGATGCTGGGTCATATGGCTTCAGCCTCCGCTGTGCTACAGCTGGGTCTTCTGCACATGCGCCCCCTTCAACTCTGGTTATAGAGCCGCGTATCCCACCACGAGTGGACGACGGGCCGCCAGATGATCAGGATTACTCAGACACGTATCACTGCACTGCAGCCATGGGCAGTAAGCGAGTGGTTTCAGAGGGGCGTTACCATGGGAACCTTCTCTCGCCGGAAAGTTATCTCGACAGACGCATCCAACTCGGGTTGGGGAGCGGTTTGCGAGGGCTCACCGGCCGCCGGCCAGTGGTCGAGCCACGAGAGTTCCCTACACATAAACTGTCTGTATATGATCGCGGTCGAGAACGCGCTGCTATGCTTCCTCCCGCGCATAAACGGTCACCACGTCCTGATTCGCTCCGACAATATGGCCGTGGTATCATACATCAACCGTCAGGGCGGCGTCAGATCCAAGAATCTCTTTCATCTGACACGCCGCATCCTATTGTGGTCCCAGAGTCACCTGCTCTCGCTCAGAGCGACGCACGTGCCGGGCCATCTGAGCGACGGTCCAGACAGCCTGTCCAGGAACCTGGTCTCCCCCGGAGAATGGTCCCTGCACACTCAAACAGTCCAAACACTGTGGCGCCTATTCGGCAGAGCGGAGATAGATCTTTTCGCTTCAGAAGAGAACGCTCACTGCCCAATATTCTTTTCAAAGAGCGAGGACGCGCTAGCCCAGGATTGGCCCCGCCGCCCGCTCTATGCTTTTCCCCCGATTTCTCTGCTACCGCAGGTCATTCAGAGAATCAGGGACTCACGCCACTCGGTGCTCCTCATAGCCCCGCGCTGGGAGAATCAGATTGGTTCCCGGAGCTAACGCGGCTGTCACAGACAGCCCCGTGGCCCATTCCAATCAGAGCAGATCTCCTCACTCAAGCCCGCGGCTCGATCTGGCATCCCCATCCACAGCGCTGGGCGCTTCATGCATGGGTGACCAACGACTACGCGTCGAATTGCCAGAAGGGGTTTTGAACACGATCAAACACGCCAGAGCGGATTCTACCAGAAAGCTCTATGCTGCAAAATGGTCTGTGTTCTCCAAATGGTGCACCGACAAGAATTTGGACCCACGGACGTGCGAGGTTTCGTCTTTGCTAGTGTTCCTTCAGGAGATGCTGGATAAAGGCAGGTCCCCATCCACTCTTAAGGTTTACGTGGCAGCCGTCGCGGCGTTCGTTGAACCCCGGCGCGCCCAGTCTCTGGGCAAAGACGAGCTAATCATCCGCTTCCTCAGGGGAGCCAGAAGGATGAACCCCCCTCGCCCCCTACGGTGCCGGTCTGGGATCTTTCTATAGTTCTAGAAGCTCTGAAAGCCCCACCGTTTGAACCACTTGAGTCCGTGGAACTAAAATACCTCTCGTTAAAAACCGTTCTTCTGACGGCTCTCGCTTCAGTAAAACGTGTGGGGGACATTCACGCGCTGTCTTCGAGCGCCGCGTGCCTAGAGTTTGGACCGAGTGACTCCATAGTCATTCTAAAGCCTAGACACGGTTATGTTCCAAAAGCGATTGGTACCCCTTTCAGGGCGCAAGTGATCTCTCTATCGGCGCTGCCTGCATCCGATAGCGAACGAGACGCTGACCGCCTCTGCCCGGTTCGGGCTATCAGAGTGCACACTACACGCGTTGCCGCGTTCAGACGCTCGGAGCAGCTGTTGTGTCGTTCGGTGGCCGCACCAAGGGACTAGCCGCCTCGAAACAGACCCTAGCCAGGTGGATAGTAGACGCGATTGCCTCTGCTTATGCCGCTAAAGACCTGCCTCGCCCTCTGGGCATCAGGGCTCATTCCACCAGAGGCATGGCCTCGTCGTGGGCATGGTCCTGCGGGATTTCCATCCATGACATTGTGTGGCTGCGGGATGGGCCTCCCCTCCACTTTTGTCAGGTTTTATAACTTGGAAGTTCCAGCCTTACAGGCTAAAATTCTGGCGGTCTAGTACTCACAGCCCTCCTATAGAAGCCGCACTATCGGGAGTTCCATCACAACCGGCTCACCCCTTGTGTTCCCCTATGTGCTTATGCATTAGCCTACACATCACGGCCCGCCTTCGCCGGCCGCCTTGGGCGTTTTGCACTAGATGATAACGGCCGCTATGCTGGCCGCCGTATTATCTTCATCCACTTTAGATTCCCCCGGTGTTTCCCCTGGGATGCTTAGTGGTTACTTAGCGCGCACGGCGTTGACCAGGTGTTCCCGTAGCGTAAGCTAGCTTACGCAATACGAGAGAACCTCTCGTAAGAGAACGAATCGGTTACCTAACGTAACCTCGGTTCTCTCTAGATGAGGGAACGAGTATTGCGTTCCCGGCCGTGCTTGCGCCACTAGCGTTTCGCTTCATGCTACAGAATCAACGAACGAGCTGGGAGAGCGACCTTTATACACTGTAGCCACGCCCCTTTTGGCGGGCTGTGAAGCAGTGAGCGAGCGCCGTCCGCTCATTGGCCGCGGACTCAGCGCCGCTCTCCCATAGGTTCGTGCATTCTCTCTGAGCGAACCAATGAGCCGCTAGCTAGCCCGCTCATGGTCTGCCTCAGAGGAGACTGCGTTGACAATGATTACAAAATTATGGAATAATTTTTTGGCTTCAACTTCTCAGCAAAGATGAATCTTTCCCGTAGCGTAAGCTAGCTTACGCAATACTCGTTCCCTCATCTAGAGAGAACCGAGGTTACGTTAGGTAACCGATTCGTTTTCAACTAAAAATGTACAACTTCTTATGCGTTTTGGTCGTTTGTTTTCATGACAACGCAAAATTTTGAAAACGGGTTTCGAAGTGCAAGTGTGTGAAACAACAAAAACGAAGATGTCGTCGTCATGCACATGCGCATTATGTGTTCAGTCTATGGTGTTTTATCGCCATCTAATGGCCTGGAAGCAACATACAGGTTTTTTAGTTGTTTTCGCGGATCCGTGCGAATCGGGATCGTTTTGACAATGAAAAAAAAAAACTTTTCCGTTCTAAGCATATCGTTGTCGAGTAAACGTACAATAAATGTGAACATGCATTTACTCGTCTCGCGTGAACAAAAACAGATTCAGTATACTTCAAAATTAATTAAATGAAATGCAAACTCAGAATATTACGCAAACCTGCAATAATTAAATGTTAAATTACGCAAATATACTTTGTGTTCAATCTCACTTTATTAATCAATGTCTTTGCTGTCGACCTTCGATCCAGTTCATCCACACTAATAAGCAAAAATCACTTGATCTCTGTTTCTATTTTACTTTTTATTTCTGAAGTAAGAGTGTTGAACTATCTTCTCCTGCATCTTGTTCTTCTGTAATCCACAATGACAACAGAAAGGTTTGTTTTAACTGCGCCTTCTACTGTAGGTGTGAATTTGTGTTTCCTTCAGCCCGCAGGCTCATTCACTTCACTTTTGGCGTGAAAGGTATTTTTTTTACATTTGCAATTTAAAAATAATTGCTATTAAAAAACAAACAGGCAAGCTTAGCCCAGGAGAGAAAAGTACCGCAAAAGTAATGTAACAAATTACTTTCCATGAGTACTGCATTTCTCAATTATTATTATTTTATTTTTTTTTAGATAGTGACGCAAAATTGTAACGCATTACTTTCAAAAGTAACTTTCCCCAACACTGGTCACAATGTCATGCATTATCTGTGAAGCCAATAATAACTCCTCATAATACTTTTTGGTCAGTATGTTTTGCTAGTATTTTGTAAAAAGTGCAAATAAGTTTTGCTTTACATACAGACAAATGTGAGGTTGTTATATTCATTTTAGGTTGTTTTTTTTTTATTAGTAGTATTTTGAATGCTCTTTAATTGTTATGATTAGCAAAAATTCATATACAGCCTTTAAAATCTTTTTATGATGAGCCTTTGATGCATTTTGTTTGCATCGCTTTATGCCTACATTTCCAAAGGTAAAGGTAACCGCATGCTTTCTCCAATGTCGTTGGACCGACAGCTCGTGAACAAGAGAAACTATAGGAGGAAACATTTGGTGATCTCATCGATGGCCATCTCTGCTGTCAGCTATCCTGTTACCCTGTGAGGAAACACAGGATGCCTGCAAGCTGCCACAAGCCCTCCATAAACACAATGGGGACGACTGAAAAATACCTGCCTTTTCTAACAAATGCTTTTTAAAGATTGGAACACACTTTTTTATGTATGAAGCAACAAAATATGCCATGGTACTCACATGGTGAACCTTAAAAGGCCTTTAATAAATTGGATTTAACCATTAAAACTTTACTTTAAAGTCAATTATGCATTTCGGCTTAACCCTCATACACTGATTTATGTACTTTTTCAGCCCATTCTCACTCCCAAGGCGTCACCTAACTGACGCCTTGGGAAGCATTTGGACATGCTTCAATATCTGACGCTTTAGGCGCCCTTTAGCGTCAGTTAGATGACGCCCTAGGATCGCGTGTACCCTACCCCCACCCCACACCTAAACCTAACCGCGTCCTCTAACTGACGCTTTCCTTTAGCGTCAGTTAGATGACGCCGTAGGATTGCGTCATGTAAGTGACGCTAAAGGGCGCCTAAAACGTCAAATATTAAAGCATGGTCAAAGGTGACGCCTTGGGGTGAGAATGCGTTGACTTTTTCCACCCAAAATATATGTGGATTGTTCTTATTTAATTATTGCATGCTTCTGGAAATCACTTTTATTTCATGCTTAGCATTTTCATGCTTTTTAAGATAATTTGCTATAATCCTGGGCAGTGTTTGTTCAGAGCTTCGACCGTTGAGAGCAATATAACTTCTGAACTGCAGGACCCTGGTGGTATATTTGAAAATGTGGACACAGCACCTGTTTCCATGCCGAATGAATTTAAAGGTCCTCAATAAGGGAATTTCCTGGGATCAGCAGAATCGCCGAGTCAGCTTCATGCAATGTTTATGCAGCCAAAGCCCTTGTTGAAGAGCCAGAAAATGCATTTGTCTTTAGGTCATTGCTTCTCTGAGCCAGTGTAGAGTAAGAGTGCCCTCCTCTGGGCAACAAGGTCCTCTTGAGTTTAAGAACATATTGTCTTCAGATTAAGTGGCTCTGTTTAACCAGTACAGTCATTACTTTCTTACACCAATACAGTACGTCTACAGTATGAATATCATGCATGCTGGTAGCTCAGATTGTCACAGCTTCATCATACTCCAGTTTCTGTCTTTCTGAAGTTCTGTGTCAAGCTATAAATAATCCCATTGATTCTGCGCCCATCCATCCACAACTTGAGATGCTCACCAGTCAAACTTAAAACCATCAGAGGAGGTGGATCATCTGAAATTACACTGAAAACAATCTCTTTCTCCCTGCCTGGCAGCTGAATGGTGTTGCTATTTCTGTCCACACAAGGATTAAAACATCCTGGACATCAATATGAAGAATTATAAATTGTAGATTGTGTTTATTAAATGAGGTTTTGACCATTTTTAAAGCAAATATATCTGTTTTATTATTTTTTAAAGGCATGCAAACAATCTTTTTTTGTCAGACGGGGCTGAATGTTAAAGGGTTTTTGGTTTGTTTTTCAGGGTTTATAGGCCAATGCAAATGAGATTGAAGGTGTGACCTTGTTTAGAAGCCATTATAAACATTCCTATGCATGCTCCAAAAAATCTGAACTGATTTATGCTGATGGTTGTAAACATCTTCTGCAGCACCCTGTGGTTTCATCCTTAACACATTCCACATTGTTTACACTGCCTGTATTATAAAAAAATATGGGTCATTCTTGTTAAGTAGTTCACTTCTGTAAATGAAACTGTGCTTTGTTACAATTTAATACAATATTTTTATAGGCTTTCATATATATACGGTGTATGTATATATATATATATATATATATATATGGGACTATATATATATAATTATCAGGAAATGCAAAGGCTATTAAATTTAAAGCAGGTTACAGATATAAGGCAACTAATTTAAAGAGTTTTAAGGCATTTCTTCTTCAAATCATTTATAAAAGCCACAAAACTTTAAAAAGCTACATTTAAGTAAACCTATCAAAATATTGTTTCATAAAATATTTACCCTTTTCTTCAGCATAGAAACACCAAGCTTAACAAACTTTGTTAGTTATAATATATTATAACTAACTAACTTTGATTAATGTAGTATTAATCATTTGGTTTGAAACATTCACATTTAAATTTTGTTTTTTTTTATTTTTACATATATAAATTGCCAGTTTTTCATGTTAGAAGTTAGTGAAATGATTTTAAATGTACACCTTTTTAACCCTTTATATGTATATATAATATATATATATATATATATTATGACAAGAACAATTTTCGACCTTACAATTTTTAGTCTAATACGTTGTCCAGTATAAACTGAAGTGTAAAAGTTGAAATGACTTAAACAGATGTTTTTTCATTTGATTACTGTAGGCTATCAGGCAGCATAGCCTTCCTAGCATTTCAGACCTTAATTAAATCACATAAAGAACATGTATGTTCTTTGCGTACAGCATATTAAAGGACCAAAAAAAAAAAAAGAGCAAATAAAACAATTAGCGTTTAATTATTGATGCGTTGAAGCTCCTCCCCCTTGATTTCCCCAGTCTACTATTCCACAGGTGCCGCGCGCGCGCTGCTCTGCTGTCGTGAACATCTCTGAGGAAACGCGCTTTTCTTTTCACATACGCTCCAACTCTTTTTATTCTCTTTCACTGTGACTTCCCGCACTGTCTCCGCAGTCATTTTCTCCCATGCTTCGTTATTTCGTCGAACAAACGACGTCTTTCGTTTTCTGTCATTCAAAAGACACCATCTCCCGTGTGTTTTGGCAGTAAGGGCTTCTGGAGAGGATGGCGGCTATCAAGGCTCTCCAACAGTGGTGTAAGAATCAGTGCGATGGATATAGAGATGTGACCATCAACAACATGAGCACATCTTTCAGAGATGGACTGGCCTTCTGTGCTCTAATCCACAAGTTCAGACCGGACCTCATGTAAGAGACGTTTATTTATAAACGGTCGTTGATTAGGATGCAGAAGTTGTTGGGTATTTACCAATATACCAAGAGTTTTAAAAGGAGTGTGGGATGTTTAGTGTGGTCTAGCTACTATATACAAAAAGTATTTGGACATTTACATTTGAATCTATGTCTGGTCACTATTAAGACAAATTATTTGGACACTTTCTGGAAGATTCAGCACTGTGAACTTGAGAACTGACTTTAAGATGCATCCGTTAGAGTGGCAGACGAAAATGGCATAACAGACAGTTAGTAACGTTACACCCTAGCATCGTTTCTTTACATGGTAAAATTAAGTGTAGATTGTTAATTTTTTAGTGTGTCGCTGAATTGTCCAACTTTCAGAGGCCACTGTATTATCCAGCAATGGAATTATTGTGATCTTAAAATATTTCGATAAGCGTTTAATGATTTTTATAATTATTTGTAACCGTTAAGACTTAATATCGTTGGTTAATATAGACTACTATATTTTTATGTAGTATATGTATTTATCACATTTAGAAGAGAATTATTTAAAATGAAGTGAAGGCAAAATTTACTTTTTTTTTTTAAAAATGGTGAAAACTAACTATTTAGGGGATCTGAGATTCACTTCTGTACATTCAAATTGTAACATACATTTGTCTATTGTCTTTCTGCATCCATTCAGTGTTATTTTTGGCATAGCCTCATTTGACCTATTGTCACACTATTGTTTAATTTACAGTTTGATGCATTTACGCCCTGAAACCACCTTAATTTCTGTGTGCTTTAACTTATTTTAGCATCAACGTTGTAACACTGTCTATCTGGTGAGTCATGTCCTTGTTTTCTTTCAGAAACTTCGAGTCTCTCTCCAAAGACAATGTGTATTACAACAACCACTTGGTAAGTTATTCTGTTTGGCCATAATCTCAGGAAACCATGACAGACATGCCTGATGCCATGTGACTCATTGCTTGCACGTTTTACTGCCAATTTTAGCCATATCCTGTACAGATTTGTCTGCTACTGTCCTATAATGTACACACTATTTAACCTTCTTTGAAAGATTTTTTTTTTCTTTGGAAACATGATGGCTGGATGTTTGTTTGTGACCCGGCCTTGTGTAGTTTGCACTTTGCAACATTCATGGATTGTTTATTCTCCTGAATAAGAGTGTTTGAGACCCTTTTCCTACTGCTTGTGAAATGCATGTGATCTAATTTTGCAGCAATCTCGAATGAGACTAGTTGCTCAGTAGTAAAAGAGCCTATTGATCGGTTGAGTCTTGCAGCAACAGCTTTTGGCAGGATAAAGATCCTTCAGTTCTGCAGAAAGTATCATTGTAGCAAAACTGTCTAAAGTTTCAGAATTGTTGTCCTGTGTGAACTTGGGACAGAGGGAAGAAATATATATAGACCATTTTGCAAGATGTAAACAACACTAGTCCTGTTTCAGTTTGTAACTGTTTTCTTTATTTCACAGTAAAAGAAAACATCTTAAAGATGTTTGTTTAACTTTTTGATTCAGTTTTAAATGTTCTGTTGGTTGTATTTTATCCCAGCTTTTATGTAGTGTTAAACTGAAACAGGAAGTGCTTCTGGACCAGTGTTGTTTACATCTTGCAAAATGGTATATATATATATATATATATATATATATAGATCTTTTTTTTTTTTATCCTAAGCCATCAAAATTGACTTAACAGGACTTGGTCTTCTTTTTCCCCATTGACTGAGTACTACACCCTCTTGATTGCTTCAAAGAGACCAATTAATTTTAAAGATTCCACGCTTTAAGCATTTTAACTATCACTGGCCACTTCAATTTACTTCAAGAATATTAGATATCCGATTAAAATGAGAGAATAGGGTATGTTGAAATTGTATTTATATGAATTAATTTTTGATTTGCCCAGAAACTGACTTCTGTTAATGTCTTGTATGGAAAATTTAATTTGTGTTACTTTGAGTGTAGGGACAATGTCCGACGACCTAATTATTTTTCTTTCCGATCAGGAAGTGCTTACGAGAATGAGGTGGCGAGACTTGCCCCAACTGGGACTTTGTCACAATGATGAGCTCTTTCTCTGGTTGCTTCCTCAGAGACTGTAAATTATAGGCCACACACTCGGAGATCTGTTACAAACCCTCACCACCTCTATAGGAAGCACTCCGCTGTAGTTTTGAACCCGAGCCGTGTGGAGTCTGTCCAGTTAATGCATTATAAAGAAGGGTGACTGTCATCTACAGGGCACCTGATCCTCTCCATCAAGATTAACTTACCTCTGTTCATATTGGCCTCTCAGTGCTGTTATACACAAGATAAACAGGATGTTGCAGCTGCATCATGGAGGATGTGCCGCCCCTCCTCAGCTGTCCTGTGAAACAATTGTGTCCAGGTCAGACCTAAACAATGCCATCGTATCTCCTCTTCTGTCCCCATTCCCAGGCCACGGCGCACACAGGAAATGTGCTATTCATTATGCACTCCCTGCTCGGGCCATCTTGATGTGGTGCCAGATTGTGCTGCTTACTGGCCTATTCTATTTTTGACAACAACTCTTTTTTTGTGTGTGTGTGCCTTGTCTGCGTTTACAACTAATTGGCCAAGTTCTTTCCTCTCGAAAACCGTTGCCACAGCGTGATATTGGCGGCCTGAAACAATCATGTGAGGTCATGTTGAATGAGGATGTTCAGTGGTTGTTATAAACACAAGGAGTCGTGTGGGTGTTTTTTTGTACTTGTGGATGTCTTGTCTAATTGCTGTTTTCTTCCGTATGGATGATGTGGTGTTGTGAACTTAATGGCCGATTTCTGTCGTGTGATGTGCTCCAGGCGTTCCGTGTGGCTGAAGACCATCTGGGAATCCCAGCTCTTCTGGATGCGGAGGACATGGTGGCGTTGCCCGTCCCAGACAGACTCAGCATCCTCACATATGTCTCGCAGTATTATAATTACTTCCATGGCCGCTCACCAAGTAAGATTGGGTTTTTCACCATTTTTATTATCTGTGTAAATGTCTTAGCTTGACTCATAACTTTATCCCACAATGCAATATTCTCAACTACTGGGAGTTGGATCCAGTATCCCTCTCAGGCTGGGTCTCAGCTGTTTGAAAATTGAGCTTTTTGAAGACTTCAAAAAACATGTAAGATTACTCCAGTCTTCAGTGTCACATGATCCTTCAGAAATCATTCTAATATGCGGATTTTGCTGCTCATGAAACCTTTTTCAATGTGTGGTGCTGCTTAATATATTTGTGGAAACTGGTAAGTTTAATAACTGAAAACTGCTAACTAAAAACTGAAAACTTACTGCATGCGTTTTGGCCGTTTGTTATATACGACAATGTGTTTTGGGCTCTGAAAACAAACTTTTGGAAATGGGATTCAAGGTGCAAGTTTTTGAAAACGATATTCTTAACGTCTCCGTGTAAACTACAAAAACGTGAAGTTACATTAGTGACAGCATGCACATGTGTGTTACATGTTCAGTCTATAGGTGTGTAGTGTTTCTTTACAAAGTGACATCACCTACTACTGACATGAATAATACAGCGTTTATCGTTTACACGGATTTTTGTGAAAGGAGATCGTTTTGACAATGTGGTAGCCTGACAACGTCAGTCTTCCTACTTCCGCTAATTTCATTTTGCTCTGAGATAGCAGCCTATCTTTAGAGATTTTAAGATTTGAGTTCAAAGTGGCTGTGTCGGCGCATTACGTACTTCTTAAACTTATCTGATTGGCTTACGGGTAACCAATGATTTTAAACTTCAGGCAAGCGCCCCCTAGCGAGAGAGAAAACACTTCTCTATTATGCCATTCCAGACTCTGTCTACGAAGCAAAGTAAAGTAGCAGAGTCTGGTATTACCAGGCTAACAATGTGATTATTTTTACACATTAAAAACGCAAAAGGAAGCTTCTCTGTTTTTACTACATCATTGTTGTGTGAACGTGAACAAATTTAAAAACACTGGGTCTTATTCACCAAAAAGTTTCGTAATAAAATGTATTCTAAATTTATAAAAAATAAGAACTGAAACCACACGTGTGCAAAAAAAACACTTCTACAGCTTTATAATCCTATTAAGAAGTTATTTTTCATCCTAACACAACTATAATTATATTAAAGTATGTTGCATTAATTATTATGTAATCCATATATAAAATTATAAATAAAAAAAAATACTAAATGAATCAGTTTAATTTAATCTTAGATTTTCTTACTTTTTAACTATGGAATGCATTTGTGTGATGGCTTCCGCTGAAAGGTTTCTCTGAATAATGGAGGTGTATGCGTATGTACAGCTGGCTAATGAGAGGTCTGTAATTTGGCTCTTTATAAGCTGTTTATTGTGAGAACTGGTTAGAATGGCACACTTGGCATGGCTCGTGGGTTGGGCGAGAGCTTGCCTGCAGACAGAGGTAAATGTGACTAGATTGGCAAAAGGCGGAAAGGAAAGCACTTGCGGAAAGCAAATTTTTTTCATATGTTTGTTTAGTGACGCGTCTTGTTCGTATAGATGTTTATACTAGGGCTGGCAAACGATTAATTGCATCCAAAATAAAAGTTTGTGTTTACATAATATATGTCGGTGCACTGTGTATAATCATTTATATAAATACACACACATGCTTGTATATATTTAAGAAATATTTTAATGTATGTACTGTATATAAATTTATATATAATTTATATTATATATAAATATAAAAATGTTATATATAAACAATATTTTTTTAAATATACAAGCATATATGTGTGTGTGTATATATGAAGAGTTCAGATGCAAAAGCCTCTAAATGCCATTTGAAATTTTCTTCTTTAATGATGATTTTTATCAAGCTTGTATATTTAAGTTCAGTGATTTCACTTAAATGGCAATGATAATTACCTATTAATTGTTATTTGAGTGAAATTACTGAACTTAAATATGCAAGTTTGATGAAAATCATCATTAAAGAAGAAAATTTCAAATGGCATTTAGAGGCTTTTGCATCTGAACTCTTCATATATATATATATATATATATATACACACACACACAAAATAATTATAAACAGTGCACCCACATATATTATGTAAACACAAACTTTTAATTTGGATGCGATTAATTGCGATTAATCCTTTGACAGCCCTAGTTTATACCATTATGTGCCTGGTATTTGCTGTTCGCTTTCACAGTGTTGCAAATTTGAATGTTACTTTGCGAGAATGTAAATATGAAGATTGTACAGAGATGACACTTACTCTGTTTCTGTCCTGTCAAAACATGAGGGCAGTTGTGTTTTAGACCGTATATGAAATGGTTAATTTGAGTGTGCCCTGGTTGAGATATGTTTCTAATAAAATAATTGTGCGAGAAGAGTAGCATGTGGACTTTACTGTCTTGTTTCTCTATCATCTCAGTGAGCTTCTATTACTATTATCCATGCACTGTAAGATTTGTTTTTTGATGTTTTAGTATGAATGAGAAACTTTTTTTGGAAAGCACTTGTACGCTAATGTGTAGCGTTTTCAAAAGAAAATTTACCTGCATTAATGCAGACAAAGCTTTAGTGCGGTCCGCTGTATACGGTATTCTATGCATACAAAAAGTTTGCATTCTGTGGACTTTATACTGCAAAAATAATGGTAGTGCACAATTAGAAAAATGCAGCGTATTCATATTTCTAAGACTTTCTTCTCAATGGTCTCTTATGTTCAGTCGGGGGAGTAGGAGGTATCAAGCGGCATGCTGAGGACTCAAAGGAGGTGCCATCAGAGAAGAAGAATCTGCCTGTGGCTGCCAAAAACCACAATCTCAAAACAAATACAGAGAACCGTCCTCCTCATACCGAAATGCCAAAAAGTATCAGAGACAACCATCCACCATCTCTTAACATCCAGAAAAATGCTCCAGAGAAGCACGTTCTAGCTACCCCAGCTCGGCAGACTGGCACAGACTGGCAGAAATCCCCAGGGGCGAAATGTGTGCAGGCGCCCGTCGCACCGCTCAGAGCGAGATCTCCACAACCACACAGAGCTGCTGAGAAGGTGTCAATTTGGCTTTCCCTTGATTATTCAACATAAAAAAATGACTGGTCTTCAGACATAGTTATAAAAAGAAGAGTTTTAATGATTCAGTCATGATTTGGAAAATTGATTTTTAGTTTGGAATGTTTTCATTCATCTGATCTTTTGTAGAAATCTGTTTTGACGGAGAGCTCAAATAAAACCGGCACGTTGAACAGTGAGTGTGCAGTATGTGGAAATCACGTGCATTTGGTCCAGAGGCACCTGGTAGATGGGAAACTTTACCACCGGAGCTGCTTTAAGTGAGTTTTCATTGGTGTTGCTTGGGAAGCATGGCTAATATTGTTCATAAATATTGATAAGTGGTGATGGCGCAGTGGATGAGACACATGCCTTTGGTGTGAGAGACCTGGGTTCGAATCCACTGTGAGACACCAATGTGACCCTGAGCAAGACACTTAACCCCTAGTTGCTCCAGAGCCGTGCGATCCTCTGACGTACAGTATATAGAAATTGTAAGTCGCTTTGGATAAAAGTGTCAGCTAAAGTATGGCAATTTGGCATGTACTGGAACTCATCCTGCATGGTTTAGTTATTTTATTGCAATGTACACTTCTAATTTAACACAAGACTTGGTAAAGTACTGTAACGTTTTATTACTATTGATTTCTCTCCCCTAAACAGGTGTAGTGTATGCTATGGCACACTGAAATCTGGGGCATATAAACTGGGAGTGGACACTGGGTCACTGGTCTGTTCTATTCACCAACATGCCCAAAATGGCTTCAAGCCTGTGGTTAAGAGCAGTGGCTTTACGCTCGCTGATTTGGTACCAAAATCTGACCGTGGAGATCAGCCATCTTCACAGCGCTACACCTCTGTGTTATCTACACCCGTCAAGGCTGTGCCCAGACCAGTGGAGCTCAGTCTCGCTCCACAGTCATGGACGGCCTCCGCTCAGAGGACTCAGGCAGCCAGGCAGAAGTTCTTCCAGTCTTGTGGCCCGGCTGCGGAGCACCGGCCCACCGCAAAACAGCAGTCAGGCCCCTCAGAGTCCATCACCAGTCAGAACGCCAGTCTGAAGGAGGAGAAAGGCCGAACCAGTGCACTGACTAACGGAAAACAACTACTTGAAGGAAACCGGAATAACAACAATGCACTTAATAGTGACCCAGGAGCAGACAAGCAGTGAGTGACTGACTAATGATTGCTGTCGTAGTTTAAAGTATTATTGATAAGTGATCAACCATTTCTTAGGTGAAAAATTATCTTTTATATTTTTAAAGTTTGGGTTGTTTGTCACTGTTCTTTAACCTTGGGTATTTTGGTTTCAGGATTTCTCAAACCCTGTGTTAATGTTCTTAAAAGGTTAATAACACTGATTTATTAACAAGTACAACACTGCACCTTTTAGCACCTTAAATGACAAGTGTTAATATTTAACTTGGTCTTAAAGACAAACTGTAAAAAGCTTAAATCAATGGTTGGTGAGAAATGAGATCATATGTTTTAAATGGGCAAATAATTGCTATACTCGCCAGATAATTATTCCTGCGGCAAAGCTGAATAGAGGGTATGCGCGTGACGTCACCGTGGGCCGGAGTGCCTGCAGTTACTCTCAGTGAGTGGCTGAGCGGCTGTATTTGTTTTCAGCGTGAATGCCGTGAAAAACAAACACAACACAAATAAAGTAGGAAAGATCTTTGCGATTGATATAACTAGATTTGACAAAAAATCAAAGGTATATTTTTACAGACTGCTATAGAAAGAGGAGCAAATGGATCACTGCAATTCACAGAAACAACTGGACTGCAGTCAGCGAAAGGTGGATTTGCAGTTATCATTTCAAGTTAATATGCTGAATTTAGGTGTAAAACCATACCCATATATTTTATATATATATATATGTGTGTGTACGTATATATGTGCATGTGTATATATATGTGTATGTATGTATTTATATATATATATATATATATATATATATATATATATTAACAGCTCATCAATTAAATATTTATCATTGCATATAAAAAAACAAACAAAAAAAACAACAAGTTTTTAGGGCTATAAGTTTTAGGGCTCGACGAAATGATGGTATATAGGCTATATATAACACTGATATAAGTGATCACCCGGATTTAGACCTGCCTATATTGTATTTATATAAAGCGTTCACAGGCAAATTTGCTTATGTTTAGGTCTTGATTTTATTTCCCCGGTGTCGAAATCAGGCAAACACAAATGTCAGGCAACACGATTCCTGGCTGCATGTCAATATCCATGGATCACTGGATCTTTTGTAAGTTGTAAGGAACACTATATTCAGTCCAACATTTAGTTTAAATTGATAAAATTGTTCGTTTTAGTCACATTTTCCCCTATTAAATCCAGTCACGCAGCAGATCTTTTGCCACTCAGTCAGGCTGAGGGGAGTTGTTCCGGCGGGAAAGTGACGTCAATGCATTCCCTCTATTTTTAAAATCATTACTTCAGTCTTCACTGTCACATGATCCTTCAGAAATCATTCTTGTATGCTGATTTGCTGCTCAAGAAACATTTATTTTAAATGTGTTGTGCTGCTTAATATTTTTGTGGAAACTGTAAAGTTTAATAATTTGTATAATTTAATAATAATTTAATAAAACGTATGATCATGGTGTGAATGCTGAATGTCTCTCGCAGGATAAAAATCAGATGCTCTTCTGCTGAGGTGTCCAGCTGGAGGCAGGAGTTACACGGACGGGATGCAACAGGAGGAAGGAGCTCGTATGAGGCCACCTCATCCAGCCTTGTTATCAGCAATAGCAGCAAAGAATCCTTCTACCTCAGTGCCATCAGCAAGGAGCGCAGCAGACCTCCATCCCTGCTGCTTTCTACTGCCAAAGGTGGTGTTCGCTCACAGATGACCTTTGCTTGTATGGATTGTGGTCTTTTTTTAAAATGGTTTCTAAAGGTCACATGGGAAATATTTCCATAAACATGCGTAATAAGTACGAGATGGGAACATAGGCAGGAAAGCGGTTAAATTAAGCCATGGGCTAGCATCCATTGTTTTTGTTGTTTTCTCCATGTAGTCAGGAAGATTGAATCTTAAGACTGATTTCTGCCCTGCAGTATTAATCCTTTCTGTTTGACGGCATGGCTTCAAATGGCATAATTTGATATTGTGACTTGTGCTTTTTGTTTGCCATAATTTTTCCCTCTGCTTCAGCCAAAGACATTCAGAGCTGCGACTCCCCAACTGACTGGAGATCAAAGCCAAAGGCAGCTCCAAATGGACCAAGACTAAAGTAAGTTCGATCAGCCTCGTTCTCCCTAATGCTTTCTAATCCACACGAGGGGAAGCAGGCAAAGTCACTCGGGTGTGAGCTGCAATGACACTTCAGAGCTAGAGTACTGACAGTGGGGCCTTTCATGTATCCATCCTCTAGCCGGCGGATTCCTACTGCCTCCCCCATAGTGTTTGACTGCCTCCGAGTGCATCCGCTCGCTCTATCCCCAATCCTCAGCAGTCCCAAGGAGTGCTGCGCCTAAACCAGCCCCCTCTGAAACTCTAGACTCTTAAATTGAGTTCCTCTAATCATTCTTTTAGTTTTGATTTCGTCTACTGTATCTGAGGTGAGTGTCGGCTTATGCTGGTTTGAAATGATGATTTTGAGTCTTGGTCCTGTTGTAGTGAAGTTATTTTACTTTTTGTAGATCTCATGGAAATGCCAAGGATGTCCCGCTGACTTGTGAAGAAAACAAAAGTGGACATTGTTTGAAGGTCCAAGATTCTTCAAGAGCTCCAACCTCCTCTATATCAAACAACTCTCATTGCTCCAAAACTGAACGGGAACAGCAGGAAGGGACCTGGGGTAAGCCAGTCACATCACCCCTAAATGGCAAACCTCAAATACATACCTTGAACACTGCATGAATTGTACCAATTTATTTCCCTCTCAGTCCAAAATGGAGCATGCACACCACCAGGTTCTTCTTCCCCCATCCAGCCATTCAGTCCTATTGTCTCATGTTTGGGAGAGACTTGTCGTGGGCAGGGTAAGTCCAGGCCAGATCAAATGCAGCATGGTATGATTTGCGTTTATGATGATCATACTTTTCTTCTGACCACAGGTTTGAAACCCGACTGTTCCTTGTCCTCTAGTGTCTTGCCCTCTCAGTCCCGTCACAAACCTTCATCTCCAAAACAAACTCGCTGCAGGTCGGCGATGTCCAGTAAGCATTTTCTAAACTTATGGTAACAATTATTTTTATTTTTAAACCCTAGCTGAATGGTTCACATGGTGCAATTTGTTGCTTTTTTATCTTATTGCAGTTAGTGAATCACCATTTATACCACTTGTATAGAAAACAGAAGCATGGGCTAAGCTCTGTTTGTTGATAGATAGATAGATGGATAGACGGACAGACAGACAGACAGACAGACAGACAGACAGACAGACAGACAGACAGACAGACAGACAGACAGACAGACAGACAGACAGACAGACAGACAGACAGACAGACAGACAGACAGACAGACAGACAGACAGACAGACAGACAGACAGACAGACAGACAGACAGACAGACAGACAGACAGACAGACAGACAGACAGACAGACAGACAGACAGACAGCCAGCTGTGTGGGGCACAGGCACTTATTATTTTTATTTTTTTACTATTTGCAGTCATTTATGCATATTTAATGTTCATGTTTGTCCATGTAATGTCCTAAAAGGGACACGGTGATGGAAAAAAAATGACCACCACCATGTCTCTGGCCTCTGTAATGTTTACCCTTCAGCTATTTATACCCCCCAAAAAGTTTTCTTTTTAAATAATTTTAGGTTACGACAATGGAAATATTTCATCCAAAAATGGCTTGCTGCTTGAAACGAGGTCCCCTTCTGTAAGTTTTTGCAAATGTTTGTATACTGTCCTTTGCCAAATGATCAAATATCTTATCACCATGGTTTAATTATATTGTGTGTCTTTTCAGATAAAGCCTTGCCACATCACACCAGATCAGATCTCAAAAGAGCTGCAGGACATTGAGAACAATCTGAATGATCTGGAGAATGAAGGCGTGGAGTTGGAGATGAGACTTCGCATTTATGAAGAAGGTATTAGATTAGTAGTTCATGTATTGGTTGTGTTCCTCATTTCTCTAAGTTGAAGTAAAAGGTGCCGTTCAAGGTTGTTTAGGACAAAATAAGCTGTTTTGGATATCAGATGTTCCTTTTGGTGCTTTCAAGATTGTGTTTTACACAGCATGTTGCTGCACCTTGTGTGTGTGTGTGTGTGTGTGTGGTTCACTGAGTTCTATGAGACGCGCACTCATTCCAAACCTGTTAGCTGAGACCGTCCACCTGGGAGCCGGAATTTCGATGTAGCCTTTAGGGGAAGGCTGTGGCCAATAAAAGGCTCTCGATTCCAGCAGCCAGGGCCAAATGAGGCGAGGCGCAGAGGAAGCTCCCTCTCCTCCTGTGGGACGCGGGGATGAAAATGGAGAAGAGGCGGTGGGCTCCAATGAGAGGCTGCTAGCTGTGTGGGGCAAGTGCACTTGATTGGCTCTTTTCAAGGTCACCATGGCACAGTAATATCATCTCCAGCCACCTGTCCTGATGCTAGCAGCCGGTGGGATTTCATAGAGCCTGACTGCCTCTCGCTCCCACCTAGGCCAAAACCACCACTTGATGAAATTAAGTTTGTGTGTGCATGTATGGATTGTACTTGTATGTTTTTTTTGTACCACCTCAAGGCAATGTCAATGGAAAACATGCTTTTTAGACCGTTTTACAGTGCTCTATTAGGAGACAAATAGAATTCAATCATAGCTCAAATAGAAGTTGAAAGTGAGTATTTGGAGATGCCCGTCTCCAGAGCACTTTAAATTGTGGCCTCAGGTGGGGTGTCTCTTATGTGAATGATGCATTTAGGACCCTGGTGTCCTTGGTAACTTTGGACTGTTTTACAGAGGGTCATGGGGACCTTCTGATGGATCCCTTGATGGTGGACTGGTTTAACCTGATTCGGAAAAAACAAAGCTACATCCGCAGGGAGTCAGAGTTGATGTACATGTAAGTGATCCCTTATACTGTATTCATCCATTGTAATTTCATTCTAATTTCTGGATGAAACCATTTCCAAAATTCTTAATGTTGACTAATAAACAATCAGTGGTGGAGGAAGTACTGAATCTCAGTACTTAAGTAAAAGTACAAATACCCAGATAAATATTTACTTTAGTAAAAGTAGAAGTAACACAATGACAACCATACTTAAGTAAAAAGTAAAAAGTACTTTATTTTAAATGTACTTTAAGTATTAAAAGTAAAAGTATTTGCATAACAATTTATTATCTTAATGTCTATTTTCTAATGATTAAATGAATTAAATGAAAACATTTAATTCTAACTCATTCAACCTAATAGCCTACTCCTATAATGATGTTCAATAATGATGGAAAAAAATGTCAACATTTCTGAAACAAGCTTGCAATTAGGCAATATCATGCTTATCCTTACTATATGTTAATAACTATGTTTGGCAGTAAACACGATTAATTTATGGTGTAATTCTGAACCTCTTGGCTTGCCATAATCCTAACCAAACCAAACATATATTACACACGGTGCGTTTCCTATGCACGTAAAAACAAATTTTCGCGTATGAGTTGCATGATAAACACACTGCGTGCGAGACGCATTTAGTGTGACCGGGTTGATATACTGTATCTATGGCAACCAAACGTCACTGGTGAGACAAACGTGCAACGAACGGACGGTCAGATTACGTTTTGGCAGGGGAAAAACTGATCAGAAAATGTAATGAAAATGTAACAGAAGTTGTAGAAATGTAGTGGAGTAGAAAGTATAATAATTGCTGCAAAATGTAACGAAGTAAAAGTAAAAAGTATGCACTATTTATTCTACTTAAGTAAAGTGAAGATACGTGAAAAATGTACTTAAGTAAAGTAACGAAGTATTTGTACTTCGTTACATTCCACCACTGTAAACAATAAGGGAGAAAAGTGGCTAGTGTGTCCGCTTGCGGTCAAATTTGGTTCTTACAGATATCAATCTCTTTCAGAGCAAGAACACAGGATCTGGAGGAGCAGCAGCCTGGAGTAGAAGGAGAGCTCAGGAGGTTAATCAATAAACCAGGTAAAAATGAAGCCAGGTTAACTCGAGCAATGTACTGTAAATATTACTCGTCAGGCTTGATTAATGTCAAACTGTAAATTTTTCATTTTGAACTGTTAGCAACTAGCTGCAAAGCATTTGGGTTTTCTCAACTTCAATAGTTATAGTTGTGCAAACCGATTTTTGAAAGTTCTCCCAAATTTATATTATGGTAAAACCTGCAAGTACACTGTAAAAAAAAAAAAATCTTGGTTTAATTTAGTTACCTGGTTGCCTTTATTTTGAGTTAATTGAAATAAAATAATTGAGTTACAACAATGGAGATTGGTTTAATCAACAGAAACTTCATTTAACAAATGAAATTTGCCAAATGGAAAAAAAGTTGTGATAAATCATGAAAATAATTTCTTTCAGTGAACATTTAAGTACCGTGAACTTATTTCATTGGAATCCATTTAAAATGATAATTCTTAAAGGAGTAGTTCACTTTAAAAAAAAAAAAAAAAACTTTTGCTGATAATTTACTCACCCCCATGTCATCCAAGATATCCATGTCATTCTTTCTTCAGTCGAAAAGAAATTAAGGTTTTTGATAAACATTTCAGGATTTTCTCCATATAATGGACTTCAATGGGAACCATTGAATCTTTTTTTTTGACTCTGGAAAAGATTTGTTCATTTTGATGATCGAGTTCGATTAGGAGAGTCACGAATGTGCATCACACCCTAACCACAACAGAGCAAGGCAACCATTTGAGCTTATAAAACTTAAACTTTGTTTTTTAAAATGAGCGATCGTTTCGCTTGATAAGCCCCTTATTCATCGTCTGGAATCGTTTAAAGCCCTTTGATAAGTTTGCACTGAAACTGTCTTTTGGACCTTGAACCGTTTGGTTCCCATTGAAGTCCATTATATGGAGAGAAATCCTGAAATATTTTCATCAAAAACCTTAATTTCTTTTCGACTGAAGAAAGAATGACATGGGGGTGATTAAATTATCAGCAAAGGTTTTTTTTTTTTTTTGAGTGAAAACTCCTTCAATATAAAACTGTGGAAAATTGTATGACCCTTGTCTCAATCAGAGCAAAGGGTCTTGCATTGCACTCAAGGAATCCATTATTTACAAAAGAATGTTTTACAATATTGTGGGTTAACCGTATGCTCTGCACTAAACTTTCATAAATTACTTTTTAATTTTGCTTTGAGAGGCATGTCTTCACTCTTTGGTTGCTATGGTAAATCTGCATTTAGAAATGAGCACAAATTATAAATAAATCTTATTCATAGATCTCTTGTGACACATGGAGCCAGTTCTCAGACCTGTCTGTTGCTTGAAATAATTAATTGTGGTTTTAACATTATTTAAAAGCTGATAAAAAAGTGATATAAAAAAGCATAAGTCATAGCAGCAGTACTAGTTTTACAAAACTGTGGAAAAGCCATAACTTGCGTGTCCAGGCATTCCCTAGATTTTGGGGACTTTTTTTTTTTTTTTTTTGGTCCCTGTTTAAATCATACTAAATGTGTTTTGAAAATCTAAAATGCTGAAAGCTTTCTGTGATGGGTAGGGTTAGTGTAAGCAAGGGAATGGAATATATAGTATGTACAGCATAAAAATCATTGAAAGGTCCCCAGAAAACATGGAAACCCAATGTGTTATGTGTCCTGCTGCTAGAACATCTCAAGACTCTGGATGAGAAGAGGAGGGAAACAGAGCTGTTGAACAGACTGATGAAAATCGTGAATGACAGGAACGCTATTGTTGAGGGGCTGGAGGAGGACCGGTTACGGTAAGTCATGAAGAAACCACACTGCTTATGAAATACTGTACTTTCTGAGCGCTACTTCTAAAGTTGCACATTTGTAAATGTAATTTTGCCAAGTAAATGTAATGTCACATTTCAAGGGAGGAGGAGGAAGATCAACAGTTGAACGAAATGATGCAAAGACTAGGTGAGAACTTTTGCTCTCGTTGTTTTGACCTTGTCAAATCTACTCTGAGCTTGAATGAAAAGTTCTTTGTTTCTGTCTGGGTGCAGGTCTTCAGAAGTTTAAAAACAAACGCAAGTCGTCCTTCTCCAAGTTATTTAGACGGAGAAGTAAAAAAGCCTCAATGGGAGAGTGAACTTCAGATCTACTGGAGTGCAGTGATCCAGATCCAAGTCCAGATTTCACCTAAGAAGGTTTGGGACTAAGAATCACAATTCTATCAGGTGGCTCAGTGAGGTAGTTTGAGTTTCTGGAGCAAAATGTTTCTTTAAAAACACTTTTTTTTTATTATTATTATTCTGATCATGTTCTGATACTTTTCACCTTATTTGATTTAGCTAATACTAATTCTAATTATTTGCTTTAAGTGTTAAACATTTTTGGTCCTACAGTGTTTGCTTATTTTTGCCTTCGCTTTAAATGCGTGGGCTAGTTTGAATATTTGTTCAAAATGTACATTTCTTTTCTTGTTGTGTTTGGTTTTTTTTTTTTTGCTTCCACCCCCACTTGTTCAGACATAAATGGTAACTTATATTAGCAGATAAACAGATGTCCAAGATTGGCTGAAGCATGCTTCTTGAGTGTGATCCAAGAATCTGTGGAGCATCTTAATTTAACTCTAACCTCCAAAAAAAAAAAAAAAAAATTGAACTGTGCTGCCTGCTAAATCTAGTGCCCTCAAGATTCAGTGCGTGCAGTGACCTGAAGGGGGCACTATGAGCTTGCATGCATTTCTAAAATAAACTGGGAGTTTTCCCAGTTTATTTTATATTCCTGAGAATGCAAAATCAAGCTGGAGATTAGACTGCAGAGGAGCTTGTGTGCTGGAGAGGTGCGGATTATTGGTCTAGCTCCATTAAAACTGTTCATCTAACTAAAAAAATATAGTTCGTCCAAAGATGTCTTTTACATGGTGTTTCAAACTGTTTTGAGAGAACCCACAAGTTTTTTTTTAAAGTTATTTTAAGAGATGTTTTACGAATGAATGTGCTTATTTATTGTATATTTGACTTTTAAAATGAGTTATCCAATAAATCTTAATGAAGTTTCTTAGTGTATTGTACCAGCAACTGTTTTCATGCTCACAATCTCTGAATCGTGAGGCCTAAAAACGTTAAATGGAAAACCCCATCCGTGCAGAAATGGTCAGAAGCGCACGATAACCAAAATGCCCAGTTTATCCCACACTTCCAGTCGTTTCCCTTCTCCGAAAATGAAAATGACACCACGCTCGCTGCAGCAACCATAATTGTTGTTCCTATCATTGCTCGTGCTGTAAAACGGCCGTTTATACAGCCATCATTTAATATGGGTTTTAGTAAAATGCATTAAGATAATTTACTCGCATTTAATATCATGCCACTGCTTACAGGCCATCCATCCCCAATTTAAGATGCATGAAATTGTGATCATGAACTTGGAACACCATCTCTCTCTAGCTGAGAGGAGCCGAGGAGGATATTGGTGCAGAACGCCACGCGTGATGCGGGTGACAGTCGAGACTGAATACGTGTGATATTAGAGTTAATTAAAGCTTTGCGCCCCATCTCCTGCAAATGCTCGCACTCCTGCAATTAAGAATCAAAGGCGAGGGCTTAGTGTCAGGGGGGTGTCTAATACATGGTTTTAACAGGAATGGGACCTGATTTGCCAAGCTCCTAGCGACAAGCATTAACAACAGCCTCAAATTAGGCGGACATTAATATTCATAAGTAAAACAATTCGTCCTCTGAATGGCTGATGAAATGAAATTCTCCGAGGTGAGCGCTCGCGTCCACGCCGCCCGTGTCCATCAAAAGATGCCATTACTGATCGAGTGCTTAATGTATATGAGCCGCGTGATGAAATTGAAGGGATGAAGGATGCCGGGGGGTTGACTTGTTTGTCACCAGCCTGGTATTTCAAAAATCGGTCCGCCAGCTCAAATGCAGCATCGCTAACCTCAAGCGTGCGCGCGAGCGTCTCTCCTTCGGTACATAACTGAATGACATTTGCATATTTGCTTGATCAAGGCCAGCTAAACTGAGGTCACAAACACAAAATGGATTTGAAAATGGAGTGTACTTAAGCGTTTTTTTGGGGGGTTTCGCTGGAAAGTGCGCTAATGCGATGCACATGTCACATGGGCTGCGTCGCAAGCTTTCAGTGTAATGCGACGCGGTTTAATTGTTTAATTAAAAGCATACATTACACTTATCTGACGTACAGTTTATTCTAAAGGTCAAACTCTGTTTGTCCAGCGGTGGCCGCTGAGCTGTTTCTCTTCCTGTACTGTAGGTGTGTGTGTGCGCATGTTGCAGATATGGTGCTAACGCTTCTGCCACTACTCTGTAATTATGATCCTCAAGGTAATTTTATCAGCCTCATTAGCTCTGATGAGTAAACGAGAAGCGTGCTTCTAATTTATTAGCCATCCAGACTGGAGCCCTGGCTCTCATCAGACGGATCATAATGTTTGTACAGGGGAGCTGATATATTCAGTGATCATCCGGCTGCAGGAAAGATTTAGATTTTGTAACTGCATCCTAAACGCTGGACCTGCCGGATAGCTTAGTTTGATTAAGAGTAGTGGTTCTCAACGTTTTTCACTCCAAGGCCCCCCATTGGCAAAGGCAATATTTGGAGGCCACTCAATATTTCTGGTATTTTATTTGTTAGGCAATATATTAAAATAATGATCACTTCCAGAAGTTTTAAACTCCATGCTCTTCAGGGTATACATTTCATTGCCAATGTTTTTCTTGTCATTTGTGATTTGCGATTTTACAACTCCCAAATAAAACACATTCTTCCCAATTAAAATATTTTTGAGCTCGACATAACTAGATAAATTGTTAACACTTAAAAGGTTAGTTCACCCAAAAATGAAAATTCTGTCATTACTTCATGTCGTTTTCAAAACCCGTAAGACTTTCGTTCATGTTCAGAACATAAATTAATATATTTTTGATGAAATCTGAGTGATTTCTGTCCCTCCTTTGACTGCTACTGCTTTGATGCTTCATAAAGAGATCATAAAACGGATCCATATGAATCTCAGATTTCATCAGAAATATCTTAATTTGTGTTCTAACGATGAACGAAAGTCGGGTTTGGAATGACATGAGGGTGAGTAAATAATGAAAGAATAATGAATTTAATTTTCGGTTAAATCTCTAACAATAAGGTTCCATTTGTTAACATTGAAATGAACAAACCATGAAAAAAAAAAAAATTATAATTAACAATAATAGGGATCGACCGATATGGATTTTTTAGTGCCGATACCGATACCGATTTTTTTCCCATTAGCCTTAGCCGATGACCGATACGGGCTGCCGATTTTCTTGAGCCGATATTTGGAGCCGATACATTTTGCTCCCTCAATTTACATCTTAAAAATAACATGACGTTAACAAATGTTACAGGTCTCAATTTAATAAAAGTAACATTTAACTAACTTCAAAAATTAATATTTAACAAATAGTAAAAACATGTGAGGTAGAACAAGAACAAGTAGATAAACAATTTAAAAAAAATATTAAAAACATGAAGTAGAACAAAAAAAGTTCAGTGCTGAAAATGAATATTTAAGCATAAATTAAATAATTACACTATTGCACACAGTAGCAACCAGCATAATAAAGTGCACAGTGCACACTGTACTTCATTTTAAAAGAAACGAACTATGTACTGCATGGTTTCAATTTTCCTACATAAAATAAAATGAGCATGTCTAGTCTCTAATATTACTGCGATTGCGAGGGAGACAAACTCCACACGCCCCAAACCTCAGCCAGGTGAGCGCTGAATAAATCTCCCACAAAAAGCACAGAATAACGTTGGCATTCCTTAATCCTATGACCAGAGTTCGTTACCGTATGCATACTAGGGCTGTCAAAATTGCTCAAATGGCGTTTGCATATTCCCTCTAAAAAACATATTCGAACATCCCGTTGCGCGTTTTGTTGTTGACGCGCATTACATCAATAACAGGACACATTAATAAAAAGAGACATAACTACTAGTATTAGATGGTTTATTTGAGTTTAAACATATTTGACAACGTATTAAAAAGCAAGTAAATCAACTAATGGCCAAGACCGCAGAGCTCACGCTGTCTCGCCCTGGACTCGCTCAGGCACTCTCTCTCCCTCTCGCCCTCACGGTCTCTGCGCGTCGGTTAAATGAACAACAAACAAATGTTGAGTGCTAAACAAGAGTTTTGTGCAAGCAATTTAAGGTTGCGAGTCGCGACTCTTGTCCCAAATATAGCAGGCTTCAGTTCATTCAGTGACTTGAAGTTTCACAGTATAGAACCGACAGTGAGCGCTCCGAGCGAGCTGTGCAGCTGTGGTAAAGTTATTAGTCTGCAACCGCGGGGCGCGGGCGTGTTTTTCCACATTCAAATATTAATTTTCACCTTTAAAATTAATAGATATTCGAATGTAGAATATTCATAGACAGTCCTAATGCATACTGAACGGATAACCTACACCTTAACTATTTGCAGCTTCTTAATACAATGGCAAGCAGTTAAGTTTTTATAGACGAGGCGTTCGCGTTTTCCATTTGGACCCACAAACTTGCTTAGTTGCAAGCACATAACAGTTATAGGGCGACGTGTTTCCATTTTCAAAGTGTTTGACAATATTTCAGGAGTCAAGCATTTAAAAGATCCTTTGAAAGTTTAAGTTACCATTCTCGTGAAGAGCAGGTTGCACTCCGCTAGTGGAGGAGGGCGGGGCACGTGAACTGCAGCATCTCCAGCAGCACGGAGTTGCCCGTGGCCGCCAGTCTATAAATAACGGCGGGGGAAAAAAACTATCGGCGAACGCGCAGCGGTGTATCGGCCGATTCCGATACACGTAAAAACCTCAAATATCGGCCCGATATATCGGCCGGCCGATATATCGGTCGATCACTAAACAATAATTATAATTATTAATAAAGTCGATTCTGTTAAAGGAGTAGTTCACTTTAAAAAAACAACAAAAAAACAACAACTTGCTAATAATTTACTCACCCCCATGTCATCTAAGATGTCCATGTCTTTCTTTCTTCAGTGGAAAAGAAATGAAGGTTTTTGAAAACAGGATTATATCTCCATATAATGGACTTCAATGGGAACCAAACGGTTCAAGGTCCAAATGAGTTTCAGTGCAGCTTCAAAGGGCTTTAAACAACATCAGATGATGAATAAGGGTCTTATCTAGGACCCTTCAAGTCATGACTCGAAAAAAGATTTGTTCATTTTGATTAACGAGTTCGAACAGGAGAGTCACGAATGCTCATCACAGAACAGAGTAAAGCGAGCATTTGTGCTTATAAAACTTAAACTTTTTTTATTCATTTTAGATAAGATAAGACCCTTATTCATCATCTGGTGTCGTTTAAAGCCCTTTGAAGCTGAACTGAAACTCTTATTTGGACCTTGAACCGTTTGGTTCCCATTGAAGTCCATTATATGGAGAAAATCCTGGAATGTTTTCATTGAAGAATGACATGGACATCTTGGATGAAATGGGGGTGAGTAAATTATCAGAATTTTTTTTTTAAAGTGAACTACTCATTTAATGTTTAATATTGAGCTTGAACGGTTGTACTTTCGTTAACTAACTGCTGTAATGCATTTATTGCTCATTGTTGCATAATGTGAACTAATTTGACCTTATTATAAAGTGTTAAACTTCCATGACTTTTCCAGGTCTATAAAATCAGAGTTTTAAATGTCCTCTCATATTCTGGGCCCTATATATTTTGTGCCACCTCTGGGCTTTTAGCACAGTGTTAACTTAACCTGCCCTGGAGCAGATTATCTGGCTTTTTAGTGATTGGTTTTCATTATTTATATAAATATTCAGACCGTTCTCATCCTTTAGCGTCATATAGAACGCTATATGCAAAAACGGCGCTATACTACGCACATGGCACCCGTTATCGTTAATATAACACGCGCTGTGAGGGCTAAGTTTAGGTGTGGGGTAGGGTGTGCGTGTCATATTCACGCTAAAGGATTTATGACGTTTTGGGTTCGCGTGTTATATTAACGGTAACGGGTGCCATGTGCGTAGTATAGCGCCGTTTTTGCATATAGCGTTCTATATGACGTTAAAGGATGAGAATGCGTTGAAATATTATACCCCCTACGTGATTTTAGTTTAACAATTATTAAACATTTAGTTAAAATGAATATATTTACACAAACACACACGCTGTTACTGTATGTAATATAAATAAGATTTGGAATCAAATGTATATTAGATTATACTTATAGCAAAATATTATCTTCTTGCTGTGTAAATGCATTCATGTACTTCATATACTTCAATCTCTTAAAGAAATGAATCTTGCTGAATCTCTCACAACAAGTGAATTGCAGTTTTGCTAAGTTTCAAGGTAAGCGATTGGCTGTTCACTACTGATGTCACGCTTTCATGTGCATGCGCTCCATGAACTCAGGATCAAAACCCGAGTTGACAAAGTCAGCGTCAAGGTACTACCAACAAAACCTGATCGAATTGATTTGGTTTTGTCAACTTAAAATTAATCCTAACTTTGAGTTTGTTCAACTACCGTCATTATAGGGACCAGGTTTTCCAAGACCCTGAGAATACAAATGACGGGTAAGATGCAATCTTTTTTTCTTTTTAAATATTATTGCACGCTATCTTGTAGCATCCTCCTGAGGCCCCTTTGTGGGTCCCGCCCCCCTGGTTGAGGACCACTTTTGTAAAGCTAAAAACTACAACAGATTTATCCACTGTTGTGCCACAACGTATGCAATATGTAAAAAGCTGATCACACTGTAAACTTAAATTACCCACCCAAAAATTTAATTTAGTTTCTGTGTCATTTGGTGTGTTTAAGGAGAGGAGGTAATGTGCTCACAATTTCACTGTGCGAACATTTGCATTGAAGGGAAAATATGCACTCTGGCTCCTGGGAATGAGATGGAAAGAGCATGACTGGGAGACTTGACAAGTGGAGCTTTTCATCCATCTCAAATGAATAATTTTCCCTTCCCTTAAACATCCCTAATCCAAGCATGTTATCAGCGCCAATGCAGGATTCTGCCCGACTCTGCTCAGCGGCAAAGCAACTTTTCCCTCTTTACACGTTCGCAAGAGCTCCTGCTCTTTACACTGGCACAGAGACTCGTCGCTTTATCCTTTCGGCTGGTTTTGTGGATCAGTGGAACGGGCCCCACAACAGAA